TAGTAACCGTGAAAGCATACTTAAAAGCATACTTAAATTATCTTTAAATCTAAAGCGTTAAGCGTCTCTGCAGCTAACAATTTTCTAAAAATGCAGTTGAAAACGTTGACGAATGCAATACGTATGGCCAAATCGAATGCAGCAAGCACGCAGATAGTTGCGAGCGGGGCGCAGAAATCGCTACGAGAAAAAGAGGAGCTACTAGAAGCGGCCAAGAGACGAGTGGATGAGTTATTGAATCAATTACAAAGTGCCCGACAAGATCTTGCAAATACAAATCGTGCAGTGGCTAAAGCCAATGCTGCTGCGAATGAGGCGAAGATAAATGCTGCTAGAAACAAAAGAAAATTGGCGCATCTCAGAAAATTGCGTGCAGCGCACTTAGGTATATCGCGAGCTTCTTAAGACATATTATCACAATGGACCATTACATTAAGATTTATTAAATATCAATTACAAAACTAATGTCAATTGCTAACAATAAACTTATTTAATGTAAACTGAATAGACAAATAAACAATTTTTTGTATGTGGTTTTTTGAAAATAAAATAATGAACAATGCATAATTATATACGTCGACTACGATATTAATAAATAGTACATATTAAGAAAATCGTAGCCAATTTCTCGGCAAGCAGGATCTTGGTTTCTAAATTTCTATTGAAATAATTCAATAGAATTGAAAATATATTCAAATAATTATATATCTACAATGTGTAATATAAGATTAATTCAAAACTTTTCTTTTTTATTTAATATTTGTTTGTAAATACCGTGATAATTTGTAAGAATAATAGAATAGAAAGTATCTCTGTAAGCTGAAAGTATTAGTAATTCTAACAATACTTACGCGTGCGCGTGTAATAAGAATCGCAATAAAAATAGTTGCAATTCTTGCAATGTCCAGAAAACTTAATGTCATAAACATTTTTATATTACTGTAATTATCAAAAGTTTACATATGATTTGCAAGAACAAAGACTTTTGTGGAAGGAAAATATATATTAAAATATTCTTTCGCATATATTTATAAATAACTATAGTTTTATAAAATATGAAGATTTTACAAGCTTTAAATCAAATAAAAATAACAAAACTAACAATACTGGAAATAATGGAAAAAACTAAGTAACTAAATAATTAAGATTTCCTGCAAGGAATTGTTTTTGAATGAAAAGTAATCCCTCAGATAATATTAAAGTATAGATATTCAATGAAAAAAATGTTATACCACATTTATGCCATAACTTTTAATATACAATTATATAACATTGTACGTACGCTGACATTTACATTGAAATCGTGACATAGTTCGTGAATTGAAGTAGGCGTCATGCTTCGGTTATTGCTGGCCTTTCTATACCGCAAATGCATCTCGTTCGCACTTTCATTATAATATCAGAAACGCAATGTGGAATTATATACTGGTCAGTTAATTTAAAAAAAATATAGAGAAGAAAATGTACTTGAATCATCAATACTGGTATTTGGATCAACAATCCTATTATAGTTTACCTTAAGCGATACTTTTTCTCACGCATCATAAGACTTTCTCTTTGAATCCTTGATTTATAAATCCTTGATTTATATTTAGTCTTTTCATAATGATATTCATCAATTGCTGAACCATATTTTTATTACTGATAAAGATATAGCAAAAATATATGTGAATAATTAATTACGATGCAATTTTTAAGACCATTCCCAAAAAAAAGATACAACTTTTAAGATTTCACGCGAACATGAAATTAGATTTAATTCCGGATAAAACGTTGATTTTTCTCAGGTCGCAACCTCTCTCACATTAGAAAAAACACTTTCACTTGAAATCCTTCGATTATTCTTAAACGTAATACTGTTACATGATATTATCATGCGGATAATATCACGTTTGTAATTTGCAAGGCCGATTCATACATTGCCCAAGGCATTCGTGAATGAACGAGGCAAGTTTAATGTTTTTTAAACGCATCAAATGCGCCCTCAATAAATCTATTACTTTGGGTAGTTAACATCTGCTGTAATGATATGCAATTAAATCATAAGATGTAAGAAAAGATATGATAATATCAAAGTTGACAAACAAAATCTGATAAAATTTAGTTAAAAATTTTTGTAGAACATTTACAACGTATTTGTTAATATAAATTTTTATTATGCGTGTTGTTAATTCGATCAATAAATATAAATTCTTTAAATAAAATTAAACGTTAAACGAATAATATTTAAATATTTAAAGACAGATGTGTTTATTATGAAATCATATAGATATTTTTAATCAAAGCTGGATCTTATTGCTTAATAATCATTCTTATCGATTAAAAATTTTCTACAGAATATCTTATCGCGAAAAATATCACCCTAATCAGGATTTGAAGTTAAATCCAAATATTTATGTATATATCGACTTAAAAATAACATCCTTTCAATATTTATCCGGTTTTATTATACGATAAGTATCATATGCTTCAGTGGTCAGACAGATAAAAACGTTTGCCTATAAAGTACGGGTTGAATATACATTATATATATCTTATAACAAATCTGTAGTCTTTTTGTCGATAAAATTTGCAGCAAACGCTTTGCAGAATTTGTTCTCAACAGATTTAGCTGACTAGATAGAGATAGATTGCTTGTAGACCCAGTCAGATATATGCATTACCTGGAAGCGATATTCTGAAAATTAGTTCCGTCTATACAGCCACTCACTTCGTTGCTATTCAAAGCCATTCACTTCATCATCCGAGAATATTTATTGATCCTTTAGCAATGATAAGAATAGGCACGAACACGAAATATAAACCTAAGACGAATTTAATTATAATTCCTACACTATAATTGTATAATTCAAACATGATTACTACCGGAATTATTCTATACATTATGAATCATTTATTTTATAATTTCTTTTATTATAAATTTTCTGCCTTATTTTAATATTTTATCTTAATATTTTATTTTATTGGATTAAATCTTTATTTTCAACCTTATTTTAATATTTTATCTTAATATTTTATTTTATTGGATTAAATCTTTATTTTCAACATTTTTATTAAATTATTATCTTTTATTTCATTTTTTAAAGATAAATTAGAATTGAAAACGATTTTTAGCTTAAAAATGTTCAAAATTTGTTATAAAATAAATTTGTTCAAAATTTGTTATAATATTATATTAAAAGTTATTAATGGCAATTAACAGAATTTTATAAAAATTTGTACCAATAAGAAATTAATCTGTATGATTAATCTATATAATTATTCATTATTTTCATTATATAAAAACGATATGTTATACGTAATTTATACAATGAGTTCTTTTCTTAAGTCTTGTGTTCACAATACTAAAAATCGATCCAAGAATGGAAAGAGAATTGGCCAATTGCATTTGAATAATTTGGCCAATTAACCAATACGATTGCTCAATTCTCTTTTCATCCAAGATCTCGGATCGATTTTTAATATCATAGACATTTAATGATTATCATATAAAAAATGTGTAATAAAAATTGTTTGGCTCAAAAAAACTTTTGTATATATGCAAAACTTTTGTATATACGCCATTGTATATACGCCATTGTATTGTATATGTGCAGAATGTTTTATTTTAATTTTCCCACGCATTTTTCATATTTCAAAAAATATGAAAAATACGAAAAAACAAAACAATGGACGTTTGAAAAAGCAAAGCTTTTGTATTATAAAAGTACTATTGTATTGTATAAAAGACTTTTGTATATTTGGAGTCAATTTTTTTTTATTGATTTAAGTAGAAATATTTCATTCAGATAAAAGAGCAATTATTTTATCGCTGTTCAATATTAAGATGGACACCACTTTTAGCCGATAATACAATGGCTGCTTCATCAAAAATGAGTGGAATAGGTGTTTGGGGATGAAGTTTAAATTTGAACTTTGATAGAAGACTCACAAGTCCAACCTTCGTTTGAATGTAGCCAAACCTCATACCTAAAAATTAACAATATTGACAATAATAATATGACTAACATATACACTAGTTTTTACATACATAAATACATCTTACAATTAAATATAAATTATGTAAAATTAAATTAAATGAAAATCTTATTAATTTAATATATCTATAAGATATTTCTAAAAAAACCTTTATAAGAAATTATATTATGTTTTAAATTCTAATAAATCATTTTAAATCAAATATAAATTTGTCAAAATAAATACAATTTATTATAATTAATAAAATCTTAATAAAATCTTAATAAAATCTTAATAAAATATTTGTATAAATTAACAATTATAAAAATAGTAAAAATAATATTTAATACAGTACTAAAAAATATTTTTATTAAATAATCGATGTAATTACGGTGAATTTTAACATGTAAATAATAAAAGACACACATTCATGAACTTAAAAAAAACATTTACTATACCACTAAATAAAATAGAAAAAATTAGAAGAAATTTTTTAATACTAATTACAAAATTGTTGATTAAAAATATAATTTATACCGATGCAGACTCGTGGTCCTTCTCCAAATGGCAAATAAGCATAAGGATGTCTAGATGCTATCTCATCCGTATTAAATCGTTCAGGATCAAATTTCTCCGGATTTGGATATATTGATGGATCTCGATGCAATCCAAATACTGGTATAGTGATCAAAGTCCCTTCTGATACATGAATATTGGTTGTTGGAAGATTTAAATCTTTAGTACAGATACGATTCAAAACAGGCACAGGTGGATATTTTCTCAAAGTCTCTGGTAACACAATTCAACAAAAAATGACTTTTCTTTGAACACCAAAACGAAACTAATCATTTTTTGTAATATTTTGGACGCTGAATTCGAATCTGATTGTAAAATTGCTCTATTACATCACAATTTTGAGAAATTTGCAGTTAAAGTTGCAAAAAAGTGCTATTTTCATTTTGCTATATTATAAATATAAAATGCTGGAGAAGTGTTCTTGCAATCAAAATGAAATGTGTTGTTAGGATTTTCAACTTTCAAAAGAGATGACATTTTTTGTGTTTGTTAACAAGTTATTTATTGTTAAACATGGAGTCTATGCAAAAATTCTGTAAATTAGATCATTGACGATTTACCAAACAGCTCCCAATTTTGTTTATCTAGATCTAAATATTTTTACATCGCTAAATACAAATCCGATGTCCATTGACAAATTCAAAATAAGATGTTAAAATTTAACAACGTATGGATTATATTCCACAATTTTAAATTTTGACATCCGCCATATTGAATCCGTCACATTTCGTATTTATAATATGACAAGGTTTGTGTAAATAGCACTTTTTTGCAACTTTAATTGCAAATTTCTTAAAATTGTAACGTAATAGAGCAATTTGATAATCACATTCGGATTCAGCGTTCAAAATATGGAAAATTACTAATCTCATTTTGATGCTTTCTTTGTTAAACTGTATAATAAGTGAACGAGTATGAAAGTATTCATTTTCTAAAATGTATTTATTATTTTAATTATCACATTTATTTAAACACACGCACACACATATAAATACATAAATATTTTTATAATGAAAACTTGATATTTATTAAAAAAATTTGTCTTTGTATAAATAAAAATATATGTCGTAATTACCGTTTATTACTTTATGAAGATACGTCATTTCAATTATAGCATTATAAGTTAATTCGCCATGCTTTTTCAATGTTTCGTCAATTTCCTTACGGACTTTATCTTGTATATCTTGATGTTGAGCTAACTCATATAGGCAATATGTTGCTGTCGTCGCAGAAGTTTCAAAACCAGCCAAAAAGAAGACATAAGCTTGTGCAGCTGCTTCCAACATGGTAAGTTTATTGACATTAGCTGTGTACAAATAAAATATTATAATTTTTTATTTCTTGTGCAGAAACATTTTTAAAAGACTGATAGTATATAATTATATATTTATATATTTATATAATTTATGTCATCAGTTCAATAAATTTTACATTACTGCATGTGTTTATATATAACTGATATTCGTATTCATTGCCATTTTTAAAGATATAATAGTTTTCGAAGTTGTTTATAGAAAAAAAATAAGTAAACGATAAAAAAATGTCGTTAATGTTAACGGTACAAAGAATATATTTACATGATATGTTGGTAATATCTTTTTCTTCATCGTCAGGTTCAACATAGCCCTTCTCCATGAGCTGTATTAACAGATTCATAAAATCATGTCTGACGACATTATGAATTCGTCTGTATTCCACATTATCACGGAACATTTTTGTAAAAAAGTTGGTAATGCCCTTATCCGTAAATGGAATGGAAAAAAAATCCATTATTTGAGGTGCAAATAATAACAAAGCGTTCCAGAAGGGTTTCTCTTCAAAGATTTTTTTTCCCCAGTAACGAAATTCGTTATCCGGCTGTTCTAGACAGTTGGATTTGATTCCAAATGCCGTTGACATAATTATATCCGTTGAATACCTAATTTTTAACATTTGTCAAATTAATTCTTAATTAATTCTAAAAGATTCTATTAAAATAAATATTATAAATTAATTAAAAAATATTATTTTGATATGTATTTTTAACTTTTGAATATGTATCTGAACTTTTCATTTTTGATTGCTAATTCATCGAAAATTATAAATGTTGATCAACATTTTTGTTTAGCTAAAATTGATTATAAGTCGCTCAAATATTTTATATTAACAAACAGCTATTTATCTTTCTTCAACAACGCATTTTTACATTATTTTAGACTAACATTTTTTCAAACTTTGTTGTATTTTTCATACTTTGTTGTTTAAAATTTCATTTTATTTAAAAAATTTTACCTTGCAAATATTTCTTTTATCTCGATACAATCTTTAACCTGAGCTTTATTCTCCAAACTTTTTGTAAACTCTTCGCCGCACTCTTTTAGAATCATAAAAATTTGCTTTATTTTTCCCGAAGTGAAGGTAGGTGTTAACTTCACGCGCAAATTCCGCCACTTTTTTCCAGACAGTAAAAATAAGTGACCGGATAATGGATCAATCTTCTCGTTACAGAACATTCCGCGATCATGGAAACTCCCAAATTCTTTTGTTAATACTATTCGAATAAGATCGAGATCGGCAATCACAAGATTTGGTTTAAAAAATGTATACATCCCAAAAGCGCGATGATTTTTATATTTCAAATAAGCATCACGAAAAAGTTCACCTGTTAACAAATCTTTCATTAAATTCTATTTTTTTAAAGCAAAAAATTCAATAATATATTGAAAAAAACGTGGCAGATTTAATAAGAGATAAGTATACACAGATTTTTTTCGTTATATAAATGAATGAATTCATTTATATTTCATGATGATTCACCACATTTTCTGATTTCATAAAAACAGAAAATGAAAATTATATATTTTAAAATATTAAGTTAATATGAGTATTTGTGTAGAATCATATCACGAAAATAAAATACCAACAAAATTCCAATTTTAAGAATATATTATTTTTATTTTTTATAAATAGATATTTTGAATATTTGAAATGTTTGTTCAATTATTTCTTAAAATTAATTACTATTATTTTTGATGATTTTTCTTCATGTCACAATTTCCTCACATACTGTTACAATAATAAGAGAAAGAAAGAAATTATATACTGTGAGTAAACTCTTTTACAATCACAATCATATAAAGATACTTGCCTACTGACAATTTTCCAGTCATATAAGCTGTTAAATTACCAGCTGGTACAGTAGGCTCAACATAAAAGACACCCTTCTTGCGCCAAAAATTAAACAACACATACTTGTAATAAATATACACAATGCTTAGGATAATGATAAAAACTCCGATTAGTTCCGTAAACAACATTGCAGATTAATATTTTTAATCTGAAAAATAATGATAAATACTTTTCTCATAAAATTTTACCGTTAAAAAACAAAAAACAAAATTTACAATTTCATCTAAATCTTAATATTTTCTTCTATATTTTTAATATTTATACCATTCATTTTCAAGATTCATTTACGATTATTATTAATAATAATTGTAAGTTAATTATAATAATATTAAGTTAATTATTATTAAGTTAATTATAATAATATTAATTAATATATAATAATATTATTGAAATGACGCACATAAGCACTACGCGCACTCATGCACATTCACAGAATGAATTCGTGGGATTCTTTTTAGATAATAATATTTTTTATTTCTAATGATATATGTTAAATAATTCAATATAAATTTATATTGTAAATTTTATCTATAATTAGCACTACCTACATAATAAAAAAAAAACGTAAATAATTTCTTTTCACTGTACGTATCAAAATCGAAATACTATATCACTGTAAAGCATGCAAAAGATATACATATATTCAGCAACAACTTTTAAATACTACAGAAGATCTCACGGTTGTAAATATACTTATACATGAAGAAAACTTGTTTATGATGTAACGATTCACTTTAATCACAACATGTCCAAAGTAATGTTTAAGTTGCCGTTGTATGTGGCAGATTTAATGAGAGATAAGTACACAGATCTTTTTTGTTATGTAAATGAATGAATTCATTTACATTTCATGATGATTCGCCACATTTTCTGTTTTGTTATTGCAAGTTTTAATTGAGAATTGTATAACATTTAATCACATGTAAATCAATATATAATTATGCTGCTTATATATTTTTCATCATGTCAATTTTATTCCACACTTGTTATTTTACATTCATGCATTTATTAATCATAATATACAAAGTCTAATATGAAATGGTACAGTGTTTATGTGCAAAAAAGTAGATTAAACTGAACAAAAACGTCCTCTACAATTTTGCAATTTTTGCAATCAATAATAAATTATTTATTAATTGTCAAATAGACACGTATCCGTCCGGTCCATTGACAAATGCAAATATACAAAATATTTAAAAACGTCTATAAATAATAAAGTATTTACTTACAATGTATACCTCCAAATATTTCGTCAGATTACTTCTAGCAATCGATATATATATATATATATATATATATATATATATAGGAATA